GAAAATGAAGAAAATATCTAAGGAAGACCATCCTTAAGATCTCAAGTTCTCAACAATAACAAACAGAAGATATTTCAAGGTGTATGTATTGTATTACAACCTCTCCAATGACGAGTTTATTCGAACTATCCATCTTGCATACTCCCTTCTAGTACACAATTCATCAGCCTTGACATCATCTTCAATGATCTGTATACCTTAATTACAGTTGAGATATTCATGCTTAGAACTGGACCCAAAGCTTCAGGCTAATTAGCACACAATTTCAACAAAATCCAAAGAAGAGAATCTCACAAGTCCAAAATTCAAGAATGTAAGACATGTCATTGATAGTAGAAAATTAAAATTCTACATTAGAAAAAATAGATTGAAAATTCCATGGTGACTCAAAAAATTTATCTAACCACTATGGTCCAACAATGTCGCTATTGATGAGCATACAACTCATATCTCAGAACCGCTCAAGTCTTTTTAAGTCTATGTTCCTTACATGCAAACTTCAGTTAAGAAAAAGAAACATCAGCATCTCACAAGTCCGACTTCAGAGTACGGAATTAATAAAGAAGAACAAGAAAGACGCAGTACAGGCATGACACCGCTCAATAGAGAAGCACACCTTCAATTTCTTCAAGACTTTTAGAGCTTCTTGTTGAGTAGAATCCACAGCAGCTGGGATTATAATACGTTCAAGCTTCTCCGTAGATGCTGAATTGGACAAAATACAAACAAGAAAATGTCCAGGGATCAATTAATATAGAGAAAATTTAGACAGTAACGATCTCAAAATGTGTTCAGCAAATAAACAGATGATATAGCTTAACGCATGTTCAACTTGATGTACCTGAAGTAGTATTTTGGCTAACAGAAGTAGGTACAGTCTCTGGGCTTGCCTCAGATATCATGGCATCCTCATCCAATGCTCCTTGGTTTGTTGGTTTGGTATCAGCAGGACTCCCATGAAAAGTGTGCAATGGACTCGTTATTTGAAACTTAAAACCTACAAAAATTGAACAATGTAGTATGCCCAACCACCTATTTAGCAAATGCCCAATTATACGAAACTACAAAGGCTATTACCCTCAATGCAATTGAACATCCCACTCACAAAAAAAGGAAAACGTAAAAGCATAAATCTTTCAATAAAGGTCCATTAGGTGGAAATGCACACCCTTTCTGGATAGCGAGAAGTAAGCAATTGCAGCGACTATAGCAGCCAGTGAAGCCCCAATACCCCCAATCACAAATGCAGGCAACCCTGCAAAACCACAAAGTACAATTGAATAAAAAGCTCAATTTTTGTTTTTCTGTAAAGATGTATTACATTTATGAAAAATTGAGGAGTTAAAGAACTCAAATTGAGAGAAAACCTGGATTTTTGTGTTGAAGCGGAGACTCTACATGCGCCCAACCGCCATAGTCGTTGCTGGCAGTTTGGTCAGGAGGGAACCATGAAAGTTCGAGGTTTCTCTGGGCGAGTGAAGCAGAGAGGTGCAGTCTAGGCCTTGTGGCTTTGGGCTTCAAGAGAATTAGGGTTGGGGAGAAAGTACGACGTCGCAAAAGGAAGGAAGTGTAAGAGGGAAGGAAGAGAGAGGAATACGGGGGTGCACAAGATGAGCACATGATTACTTCTCAGTTGAGACAAGATTTGGGAATTAGGATTGCAATTTACGGTGGGAAGTGAGAAATGCTGAAGCTTCTGTAATTGCAGAGAGAGAGAGAGAGAGAGAGAGAGAGAGAGTTTTAGTAGGGTGCGAGACTGAGAGGTGGCAGTGGCATCTGTTTGATGAAGGAACCAACTTTCCTTCAATTTAATTCTCAATGTGGACGTCAGGAACCTATTATCATGTATGTTCTACTACACCTTCTTGATTTTCTCACTGTTTACAATGGCTTCTACACCTACGGACGGATGAGATAGTAACTTATATATAGTTGATTTTCCCACTCTTTTTTTGTCTATTTATATTCTCTTTGTTTGAAACTGTATGTTCCCACACTTTTCATAAATGAGAAGAGGAAATTCATCACTAGCTAGTTGCTAGAAGAAAACCAACCTAATACTAGTTTCCTGTGTTTTTGTAACAGCTGCTACATAAATTATAATGGTGAGCTTGCCATTTCCATTTTCCTGCTTGTAAAGGTTTTTGTCAACCATGCCAGATTCGTTTTGTCCTCTCTCCAAACCCCAAAAAATGTTTTTTCAGGCTGAACTGTGATTGGTTATTTTTAAGCTCACCTTATATTTAAGGCTGAAAACGTAATTAGCATCAGCCAGCCTTGTCTATTTTCTTGTTAATTAACATAACATCACATTAACCCAGATTGTATTACTACAAAGATCACAAGAACAGTAAAAAAAACCAAAACAACAAACAAAATTTATTAGGGAGACAAGCATTTTTTGGTATGTGTTGAGTAAATGGGTTTAGTTTGAAAGGCTTCGTACTTGGGTGAAACTGCAGCCAATATTACAATGCCGCTGACCAATGCCAGCCCCAGACCTAAACTATTTACAACCATGGACTCTGTACTGTGTTTAGACACATTCCTCTGTGTTTGCAAGAATGTCAACTTCTCCAAAAGCCCTGTTTCTGCTGTGGCCACGGCCAAACCATAAGTGTAGAGTCCGAGGAATATGTGCCAAGGCAACAGCCTTAACCTCACTGTGCGCACTTCCCCTCGATGCCAAAAGCTCAGGAAACCCATCAACCACTGCAATTTAGAAATCTAATATTAGCTCAGTCACTGTTTCTTCATAAACATCATAAATTATTAGCTCATCTTGCCTCACAACACAACTTTCTTTTTTATTTTTCTTTTTGGGTTATTTTATTTATTAATTTGGGTTGGGTCGGGGGGGAGAAGGAAGGCAAAATCATTAGTACTGGGCCATTTGCCTTCCTTCTGGCCCGTTGGCTGAATTATTTTATGGACTCATTTGATGAATTATTTTGATTGATACATATTGAAGGCCTACTACTTGCTTACTAAGCATCTCTGCTTAATGATAATATTGAAATGACAGACTCTTGTCATTAACTTACTAAAGATGAAGGCACTTGCACCGAACTCCAAAAGTTGAACTTAAACCCAGTAATTAGTTGAACAAAAGAAAATATGAGTTAAGTATGAAGAACAGAACCTGAGCTCCAAACAAGAGGATGCAGATCAAACCCATCCAAGAATGCAGACTATAGAAATTAGCCACAACTCCATCTTTCCCTTGAAACCTTGTCCAAATCCCGAAGATCCCAGAAGCCAAGGCCACGCCTTGAAGACACAAATGCACTGATTTCTTCAAACTCCTTGAACCAGGCAACCACCTATGAACCAGAATCGCTGGGGAAAACAAAATAAAGGTAAATAAAACTAAAAACCCAAGTCATAAGAATACTTCCTTTTATCAATTAAAGGGTCTGCTTCAATTTTTAACTCCCTGCTAATTCTTACACTACCTTCTCCGCTAATGAGAATAAAGCCAATGACCATGAACAGAGGATGAAGAGCCTGTAAAAACAAGAACAACCCACCAAACTTAGCTTCCAGAAATCAGAATCTTTCTGGAGTTTTCATTCAGCGCAGAACAAATTAAGAAATGTGAAGAGAAAGAGCGGATTAGGTTCATACTGCATAGATGAGGCCCTGGTCTTCTTGGGAGGAAGAGTGACGAGGAAGGAAGCTGGACTTGAAGGACAAAGCCCAAAAAAGGACCAGCACTGCAACTAGAAGCCCAGAGATCCTGGCAAAGAACAGCAATGGGACTTGTGAAGAAGTGACTGTGGCCATGGGTTTGAGGCATGCGGAACCAAAACTCTGATGAGAGCTCAGTGTAAAGAGAAGCGGTACAAGTAGTTGCCTACCGACAGCTGAGCTCTAGATCTACCCTGCTACTAGCCATTTTGAGTAAAGTTCCTTCCTTTATTGAATGCTTTGTGTGGAAAAAAAGTAGTTTTTTTTCCTACAACTGTTTCATGAGAATTTATTTTTGGTGGGTACCCCAATAGATTTAGATAAGCTTATTTCTTACGAAGTCTTTGTTTAGCTTATAATCTATTTTCAAAATTAAATAGGTGTAATAAATCAAGATGCTTTGTCGAACTATACAAAACTTCATGGAATTGAGTTAGGCACTTAAATTGCTCGGCGTTGATTGACTCTGCTCTGTTTTATCGGTCTCGTGCCTCGTGTCTAAGGAAGTCCAATTTTATTAGTGACATGCGCCACTTTTCTTAAAGAGTTATTTACACTAGTACTCTTTTTAGGTTTTTTATATTTTCAAGAAACCTTCTCACGTCTCAAAAATTATATGAACACCTTATGAGATTTCAGTTTGTTTTTACAAAATTTATTTTTGTTGATTATTTGTCCAAAAATTGATGATTTCATTAAAATAAAATAAAAATAAAAAAAAACTTGTGCAAATGACAAACAATCTAATCTCAAAAGCCAACTTTGTCATTTGGAGAATTTTTTGGTATAAAATCATCAATCTTTGAATGAAAAATCAATGAAAATGAGTTTTGTGAAAATAATTTAAAACCTCAAGGGGTGTTCGTATAATTTCTAAAACTTCATAGAATTTTATGAAAAAGCCAAAAACCTCAAAGGGTGTTAGTGTAAATAACAATTTCTAAAATATTATTGAGCTTTTGCCACTACGCACGTGATGCAGAATATTTCAATGGATTTTTATGCACAGGGATTTTGTCAATGTCAATAAAATAAAATTCCCTAATGTGGTCTGTTAATTAATTTATTTATATGCGTTAGCTAGATTGTCTAGTGTTGATATGCAGAAAATTAAACAGTTAGCTAGATTGTCTATTGTTGAAATCACTATTATGTTATGACACGGGTGATAACACTTTCATGTAGCATAGCATTATTGACCGAAATAGCAAAACAATGTTATCCTGTTGCAACTAAGTTTTTCTCTACTTTATGGCCTATAAAATTGCCAAGTGGAGCATAGGCAGGGATGAAATGGCCGGCTTAAGTAGGTCACTTCTGGACAGAGACAGAGAGGCCTTGCAGACCTTTGAAGCTGAAAATAAAGAGAGGATTTGTCAACTTGCTCCTGTATGTCAGCAGGTTTGCTTATAGCTCAAAACGTTGTGGAAACAAAGCACAAGTTTTTAATCACTGCGTATATTTCAAGGCCTTCAACAAAGACAGAGAAGTTTGTCAATCTTTTTTCATATGTTGATAAATATGAAATGAACTAGCTGTTACACTATGCTAGCTGTTACACAAGAAATATCAACTAGTCCTTGTGCTTTTATAGGTCATTTTTTTGTTTAACCCTACCTTGGATTTGTAGTCACATACAAACCAGAACAACTCATTTTGGGTAATTATCTTCCTATCCTCCTAGGTGCCCCAATTAGTTCTTGTTTGTATCCCATCTGATGTTTTGAGGTAGCTGCCTTAGCAGTAACGCATTTAAAATTAAAAAAAAAAACAGAAAGTCTTAAAATTGAAGTAGCTCCCCAATCATAAACCAATAAATAATAATAATAATAAGACTCTGTCTTATTACAAGCATTCACGCAACAGGACATATAAAGAATCTAAAAATAGCCGGTGACAATTCCAACTCCATTGCTATATAATAAGTAGCTTGCAAACCACATAAACACAGAGAAGAAAAACAGAGAGAGAGAGAGAGAGAAATTATGGAACATTTGACGAAGGACTTCAAAGTGGGAAAGTGTGAAGGGCAAAAGGTGGTGGATGGAGAAACCATGCCACTGGTGCTGCAGCCTCCAGAACCCAACAGCAGCAATGATGTGGAGAGCCTTGTGTTGGCTCTGAAGAAGAACAAGGACTGGTTTGAGCAGATGCTGATCAAGAACAGCGCTGTGCTGCTTAGAGGTTTCAATGTGCAGAATGCAGAGGAGTTTAATGATATCATTGAAACATTCGGGTGGGATGATATTCGATACGTAGGGCCGGCACCAAGAACACATGTGCACAAGCGAGTATGGACTGCCAATGAAGGACCTCTTTCAGAATTCATATACTATCACCATGAGATGGTCTTGGTAAGTGCCTTAATAAGCTTCTCAATTTGGTCATGTTTTCTGCAACCTTTTTTTAAGCTAGTTTGTTTTATGAGATCATAGTTTGATGCCCAATTCTTGCACCAAAATATGTCCGTCTCCATTAGACTTTATAACTTCAATTCTAATCCAAAGAGTTAACCCAATATGATATTATTGGCATCTGCTAATACCCTCTTAATTACTTTAACCTTTACTTTACAAATTAATTAACCTGCAGATCAAGGAATATCCGAAAAAATTGATCCTATTCTGTGAGACACCACCACCAGAAGGCGGAGAAACACCCTTTGTTCCGAGCTTCCGGGTAACGGAAAGGATGCTGAAGGAGTTCCCAGAAACCGTAGAAGAAATGGACGCAAATGGGTTGAAGTACACTTTCACAGCTCTCAGTAAGAACAGTACAGGTTCCATGAGGGGTAGGGGCTGGGAGGATACTTTTGGCACATCAGACCGTGCAGAAGCTGAGAAAAGGTGATCTTTGCTTACTACTCTATATATCACAAGTCACAACATGATAAATTGGTTTCATAGTTACAAGATCATTTGGTTAAAGACATTATGATTTGGCAGGGCTAATGCTTTAGGCATGGACGTTGAGTGGCTACCAAATGGAGCAATCAAGACAATATTGGGGCCAAGGTCGCTGACGAAGGTGTTTGATGGAAGAAAAGAAAGGAGAATGTGGTTTAACACGGTGGTCGGCATGCATGGGAAGGAGCTCAGCTCTGCCCTCATGGCCGATGGAACCGAGATTCCGGCAAATGTGGTGAATAGATGTGAACAGATTATTGAAGAAGAAAGCATCCAATTTAAGTGGGAGAAGGGTGATGTTCTCTTCTTCGATAACTTGGCTTTGCTCCATGGAAGAAGGCCTTCTCTTCCTCCCAGGAGAGTCTTGGTAGCCACATGCAAGTAGCTTTTCAGCAAAGCAAAGTTTGTACGGCCAGTTATACTGGCTTCAAGTGACAACCTTTTTTATTTCAGTGAGAATAAAAACTGTTATAAACATAAAATAATCAGGGTATGAAAAGTACCGCTGAATATTGGGAGTAGAATTGTACTTTTGCTTTTGTGATGTTTACATTGACAGAATTTCCTTTCAGATAGAACTCACTCTCTTTTGTTTCCTCCCTTTTCCTTTCTTCTCTTCCTTTCTTTCCTCTCTTCTTTGGTGTGTTTTGCTTGGTAATGGAAAGCCTATTTATAGACAAATTGGGTGGCTTACCCAACATCATCATTAAACTTGTTGAATATTATTTCCTTCTTTTCTTTATGTGAGCTCCACCATTTTCTTTACAACAAAAACATCGTTATCTTTCAATACATGGTCAGATACATCAAAACTCAGTTTTGGATTTCCATCTGAAAGGAAGAGGCCTCAAAGTGCTTGGTGAGTGAAAAGTTTCTCGTAAGTTGGCAGAGCAACAATAGAACGAACCTAATCGCTGAATCTTAAATCTCCAAACCTTCAAATCGCAAATCAGCTTGCAATAGATGCCACATGAAATATGGAATATACATCCATCCGCATCGAGTCTAATATCACTTTACCAGTAATATCAGCTCGCTCACCCTATTTCTAAAATCAATATTTCCTGACGCATTCATGGCAAGCCAAAAGTCCAACTTCAGTCCAACCAATGCCAATAAGGTGAAGAGTTTGATATCAAAGAACAAAAAATTTAATAGGTAAGAGAAACTAAATTTGATTAGGTTCTGTCACTAATTGATTTGGTCAATGAAAGGAGTCCCAAATCAGGGAAATAGATAAAGACAATTTGATACAGAAACAGCATTAACTTCTATTTATTTTCTGGACAGGCATAAATAAGGAAAACAACTTTAACATAGCCCTAAATCTGTTTGTTGCTCTGATGGGCTGCTGTTCGGGCTTTGGGTTTTACCCATATTAACTCTCAGGAGGCAAAGTGGCAACTATGGAGCACGAGTGGGCATGGCCCGGCCACGGCCCCTTCCAACATAGCCACCGCCATAACCCCCATAACCCCCGTAACCCCTTCCATAGTAACCACCACGACCACGGCCACCACGCCCAGGACCACGGCCACCTCGACCACCCCGATACCTTGAAAAAGTGCCAAAAGTCTGCACCAACAAACAAACAACCATATCCATGAAAATCCCCAAAACTAAGATGGGCAAAAAAATAAAAAATAAAAAAAAAGAACATTACCTCAGTATCTATCTTTATTTGCTCAGAGTATCTAGTCCTTCCATTCTGTTCATGATTCATAGCATTGCAAGAGATGGTATCAAAGAAGTCATCCTTATTGTAGACGGGCTGTGGCACAGGGGCACAAAACTTAACAAAATGAGATGACAGAAGTAATAAAAAGATTATTTCTTAATCTAGAACCCATTTAGATTATGAATGAAAAACATGATAGCCAAAGCCACCTTGATCTCAACCTTCGACAACTCCACATCATCTTCATCCTCAATATAATCTTCATCACTGGCGTTTCCATCTCCATCTTTGTCCTTTGGGTGAGGTTTGTTACTCTTACCCAGATGACCCCAAACCTCATCCTTATTGAACTTCTCATTCATTGCCGTGAAATCAAAATCTTCAGTGAATTTTGTAATTGGACGGGAACTCTGCAACCAAATTGTTAATTATTTGGCACTGTCAGGTATCCCAAAAGGTATTACGACGACTAATTGGTAAGAGTAAATTGAATTTAATCGGGGGGAATCCTATCTGTAAATAATTTTGGATTTATCACATATATCTTACTATAGATTAAAAGCCATCAGAAGTGCTGAAAAACACTCCCCTGACAAAACATTTGCAATCAAGAAGTTCTCATTTTAACTCAAATTTAAATTGTCACTTAGATTCAAATTTACTCTACATCCAAAGATCCCTATTAATCATATGCTAAAAAGGTAAATAATACATTACCCCAGATCCTCGCCCTCTTTCGCGCCCCCTATAAGTATAACCGTGGCGATTTTGGAATTGATCTCCATTTGGCTGGTAATGCATTTATACATATATAGAAAAAGATAGGGACAATGTCAGAGACCTCGTTGGATCATAGAGTAGATAATAGAATTGAAATACAAAAAAAGGAACTGAAGTCTTAAATTGTTATAACTTCATCCTTTTATTGCAGAAGTTTGTATAAATTCCTCCTCCTCAGAGAGAGAGAGATACCATCTTTTTTTAATACCCAGAAATCCCCCAAGCCTGCGTTGCAGACTAGGCTTTGAAACTGGGGCCCACACCAAATCCTACAATCTTTGAGAGGCAGGGATAGGTAGCTTGAGATATTAAACCCCAGACCATGTGGGATCAGACCACAGGTCCACTGGCCTGAGAACTCAACTAAATCCAGTTGGTGAGAAAAAGAGAAACCACAAATTCTAAGATCTAAACAATTCAGTCATTTAAAAACCTGAAACTAGTTCAAAGCTGGAAATTTCACATAAATCTAATTTGCAACCCCAGAGATGTAAATACATGTACAAAAAGAAACTAAAACAAAGAGGCTGGCTGATGAATGAAAATTTCATTGGGTATGGTAGTTAAACCCACCCATCTTACACTGAATGCTAGCAATTCAGTCTAATAGCCTGTTAAATAACAATCTAATATTCTACTGCACCCACCCACATATAAATAGACATCCAAGAGGAGGGGAAAACAAAGCAAGCAAGTCCAAGAGCATGAATGTATGACAAAACAACACCTTTTGACCAGCCCGTACAGGTGGTGGTAATGGCAATATTGGGGGCTGAGATTCGGCCGAGATTGGCACCGTGGGTTCTGATGAGGTTGACGATGAAACTTGGACCACCTCCACATCCTTGTGAGCGGTTTGAAAAGATTGAGTTGAAGAGACTGCACCAGATCCAGATTGCAACAGCTGGCCCGGGGTTACCAAAGAAGGCAGTAGTGTTTCCATGCGCAAAGAACTGGATGTCCCGACAACAGAGGAAGTAGCTTGAGATATGTTTTGATAAGGCAAGGTTGGGCCAGAAATTGCATGAGGCTTGTTAGAGATTGGTGGTACAACAGTACTTATATCTGGGCTTGTAGTAGTTAGAGAAGAAATAGGTGGCAAGTTTACACTAAGGGTGGCTACAGAAGGGGCAGAACTTGGTGCCTTGTTAGGCATTGAGCTTGGCAAGGTTTCAGAAGCTAGTGTTGTAGAAGGCACTGGAGGCAGAGTTGTTGGCAACGTTGACTGAGATAAAGAAGTAGAACTAATACTAGCAGCTGGAAGCAAAGGTGACGGAACATCAGGCAAGTTTGAAGTTCCAGTAGGTAAGGAGGCATTAAAATTGGGGTACTGCAGTGGCTGCTGCATTGAAGAAGGCATTGATAGCCCAGGTGGTGGTCGAAGCAACGATTGCTGGTGTAAATGAGGAAGCCCATTTGGAGGGCCATAGTATCCTTGCCAGTACATTGGCATTGCAAGCCCACCACCATTTGCACTTGGAGGAGGAGGCGTAGCCCCCCATGACGCTAAATTGCCTCCAGGTTGATATAAAGGCAAACTACCTTGGAAATTTGGACCAGGGAGTCCCAACTGTGCAGTATGAGGATTAATATCCGTCAAAGATCCACTAGCAGGAGCAGGTAAGCTCGATGTTGAAGGAGACGGGCGGGAGTAGTGAGACTGCAAGAAGGTAAAAAGAGTTTGAGAGAGAAAGAGAGAATTACAAGAGGTTAACTAGATGCATCACAAAAGTGAGACGTCCTTCTCTTACTTGAATAATAGCTGGATCATTGTTTATAGGTGGTAGGGTAGGCTGAACAGGTGGAGAAGACTTAACCTGTAAATCCTGTAAACAAAAGCAATAATGAAAGACTTAGGGCTTCGATATTTACATGAAAATATAACCAGAAATGAATCCCGGCCTACAAAGTTCCAAAATTTGACATGATGACATTGCAGTGAGTTACATCCCACATCATGGGTTATGACATTTGTGTTAATTTTTCTATCTTATATCATTATTATCATATAATTCAAGAGTCACCATATTTACACTCGAGTTTTCACACACCTTAGTAGTCAACAACAATTGCAAGTTTGCAACAGTACATGCTCTAATTTTATTTTTATTTTAAAATAAAAATAAAAGCAATGTCCTTGCCAAAGATTGAAGAAAATACCTTTATTGAATAACTTAAAATCATAAAACAAAGGAGATTCAAGGTTTTTTCGGTAAATTATCAATCCTCAATATAGAACGCTCATTGTGAATGTCTTGAAAAACAAAGTTTCGTTACCAGACTCTGGTCCTAGGGTCTTAGGCATCTGTGTAAACCATACCTTGATGTCACTCCCGCGGAATAGTATATACTCATAAACTTTGTCACCCGGAGGGATTTGTGGTCCATCTTTTTTCCTTCCTTCTGTTCCAAAAGATCGTACTGCCATGTAGAAAGTAACAAATTACCACCAGCTCATCTACCCATATCTCAACAAAAGCACTTAACAAATATTATATGCATATTGTGATCCATGGCACATAAACTATTCATGAACATTTCATGCTTCAGGTAAAGGTAACGTGACACAAAACCATACACCAACTAACATATGCAACCCTTATTTCCATGCATGATTAATATATATTAACCATGCTGATACCCTCCACTTCTACCATTTGATAGCATTATGACAATGAACCATAAATTAATGGACGCAATTATACTGTTCTGAGATTAAACCATAAGTAAAAGAACAAATAACCATGCACCACAAGTGGCTGTTATAACTTCCACAACCCTGGGGACACACTGTTTTTGTAATAAAATAAAATTATAAATGATTTTTCGTTCTCAATATATCTTATTGATGCCAGCAGTGGTATCGAGGAAACTGAAATTACTAGGAAGCCAAATATGAATTGCTCAATCAAAACAAAATGAAACAATTTCAACAACAAAAAATATAGTCCTTCCCAAAAATGGATAAGATAAACCAGTTACAATCACGTATATTGAAGAGACAAACCATTTACAATCAGAGAGTTGGACATTTTCACAGAAATTTACACACATTAGTTCCTCGCCAAACCATACTTTCATACTGAGTTCAAAGCACACGTTAATGCCTAAATCACATACTTTGCATACACACACGTGACTTAGGGCCAGTTTTTAAAAGAAATTTCATAATTATCGAAAATTTCAAATATCTGAAATAAATAATAATTAAACAAAAAAAAGGTCAATCTAGACGACTGTAACTAGTAAATAAACATTCTTTTCCAACAACAAAAAAACTAGTAAATGAACAATTTAATCAATTCGATTAAATTAAATTAGGCATAGAAAACAAGAATGAACGAAACGAAATCCTGAGAACAATAAATCAAATCAAGTGAGTAAGCAGTACCGTTTCTGAGCCCAATACTGGACTCTTCGGTGTTGATGTTGTAAAGCACGCCTTCGTATCTGATCTCACTCTTCGAAGTCAAACTTATCAAGCTCCCTATGTACGAATCGGCCGCTGAGCTCGATCTCGTAGCAGTCTCGGTAGCCATAGCCTCTGATTTCAAACCCTAACGCATGCAGATTTACAGAGGGAGGGAGATAGTAGGGTTTTGCTTTTGGGGGTGGCTTTGCGATTATCGGTTCTCTGTTTTGTGGAAAAGAGGGAGATCTGCCCATTTAATATATAATTTTGTTTTTGCGTTTTAGGTATTTTGACGATAATGACGAGCTAACCAATGCTAAACAGACACGTGGGTGGGTCTCGGACTTGTTGGTCTTTTTGTTGGAATTCGAGGAGAAGGCGGTCCAAAGTGTAGTGGGTCTAGTAAACGAGGAATGGCAGTGGGTTTCAAAAGGGTGACTTGCTAGGCTGCTGAGAATCGCCCCACTTGAAAATGACTTATCTATCCATGCAAGTTTGGCCGAATGAGTTTGAAATCTGTGACAATAACAGGGTAATTTCGTCTATTGGCTAAAAGAGAATAATTAATGGGTATGGATCAACACCTCACCTTTATCAATAGAATTCACGAATTTTTAGGCATTGGATTATGTATTGTAGCATATAACTAATAAACTTTTGATTTCGCATGTGTTGGTAAATATATGATAAATTGAGAGTAAAATAATTTTAATACTCATATGTCTATTAGAAGTCCTGCATCAAAATAATTTTAATAATTAGTTCCATGAAAGTAAACATATCATTATAACTTTTAATTTGTTGGTTATACACACAAAATGCATGTACAAAGAATTCTTTTTCACTTATTTTATTTTTATATTGAGTATTTTATAAAGTAAACTATTCAACTTTTAAAGTTTCTTATTCTAAACCATAAAAATAGGTATAATTGTTTTTTTTTTTTTAACAATTGATTTTTTATGTAGATGCAACGTAAAAACTCATCTAAGATTTTGACATAAAAAACACAAAAACTCAATGTGGAAGATATTATCGTTGGTGATATCTTTCAAGTCAAAAACTCATCCACTGGTAGGGAGTATCATTTGGCCCACGTCATGCGGGTTGAAGTGAATAGCCCGAGGTTTGATGGGCCAAAGTTAAACCTGATTTGATGGTTAGGCCCGTTCGCCTGGCCCGTTCTAAGTTTTGGTAGAATTTGGGCTTATGATTTGAAACTTCTGACCCGACCTGACTAGGCCCATTCATGGCCCAGCCCGCTCATTTGCCTTATATTGCGTTATTTCCATTCTAAACATTTAAGTAAATGTATTGTCTTTTAGTTTAATTTATTTTTATATTATTCCATTTACTTAAGTTTACAATATAAATAAGGAAGTATCCCTCGTTTGGATTCAATTAAAAATACTAAAAAATCAAATTCAAAAAACAAGACATTTACTTAAGGGGGGATTCAATTGAGATTTTAACATATTATAATTACATGATTTTTAAACAAATTTGTAATTATATGATTTTACTTATGATTTTAATAGATTGCAATTACATAATTTTACTTATGATTTTACTTATGATTTTAATATATTACAATTACATGATTTAACTTTATATTTCTATGAGAGCTTTTTTGCTCACCACATTAACCAAAGGTGTATGCTCACCACCACCCTTAAAAGTTGTCTGCCTCATCTTTCTCAGAATCTCTTCTTTTGCAGCACACTAGTACTAGTAACCAACCAGACACACCAATCAAAAATCAAAGAGGCAAGCTTTGAGCTTTGAAATTGGGACTAAGACTAAGAGCAAGCAATTCCGTATTTTCTTTTGTCAAATTTTGATAGATTCATAATTTGGTGGTTTATTGGATTTGGAAGATTTTAGTTTTGGATTTAGGGGCTGCCAATCATATGAGGAAGATGAGATGGATTCATTGTTTGAAGGGATGGTGTTGTTTACCCCTAACAATACCAATAATAATCACTCCGCCGTATTAAAAAAAAGTGGTGGTTGGTTTTCTAGGGAAAAAAATGGTGGTTGTTTACTGTACACTGAGGGAGAGAAGAGAGGGCGGGAAAGAGGAGGAGAGAGCAGGAGAAAAGAAAAAAAAAAGGAAGAGGGAGTGTGCTGTGATGTGGGCCCTTATCGTCTCTCTTATGATTTTATTATTTTTTTTTAACGGTAAAATGCATGAAAAAATAGTGGGGGAAAAAAGTATGAGAGTTTATATAAGAATCAGGCATAGGAGGGTGTGATTTGTTATGTGATTTGGTATATATATTACACACTCAAAAGTCTCACACAATACACAATTTAATGAAATACATTAAAATCAATAAGTTTTTTTAATACCACAATATTTTTTCTTATCTTTTAAAAGTCCTAATTGACTACCACCAGACTTTTATTGATTATTTAAAAATACTAATTGAATACCACCAGACTTTTATTGATATTCTAATTGAATACCGTTGTACTTTTAAGCTTCAAAACAATCCATTAAAATCTCAATTTAATACACCATCCTAAATGTTTCGAATGGAAATAAGACAATGCAATATAAGGCGAAAAAAGAAAGGCAATGGGTGGCCCTTGGGTGACCCAACCCAGCCCAGAAAGCCCACTTAGGCCAGACTCTATAAGGGGGCTAGAGCTAATCCCTTTCAAATTTCGACTTGAGACAAAAAATGTAAAAATCCGACAAGAACCGATCCGAGCCTGGCCCAAACCCAAAAATTTAGAGCTGAACATGACGAATCTTAGCCATCAACTAGTGATACTTCTTTTTCCAATACTAAAAAAGATCTCAAGTTGGAAACTCTCAACCTAAACTCATATGTGTACAGAAATATGGGTTTTTAACTATAGAGGTCCTTGAACTTTACCTCGAGTTGCAATTGGGTCCCCAAACTTTTTTTAAGGCAATTAGGTCATCCAACTCTCTCATCTGTTCCAATTGAGTCATTCTGTCAATTTGGGCGTTAAGTTGAAGGCTAAAACCGTCCATCTTAATTAAAACAATTTAAAAAATGAAAAAATAATAATTAAATAAATAAACTTACTTAAAAATAAAAAATCCAAATCCAAATCCCCATTTCTCTCTCTTTCTCTCTCTATCTAAGCTCTTCCTCTCCATTTCTCTCACAACCCATTCCCCTTCCTCCTTATCCCACCCCCTCAAAACGCAAATCCTAACCCAACCTACAACCCACCCCTCATCTCTCAACCAACAGAACCCAAAACCCACCTGCAACCCTCATCCCCCCAAGATGCAAAGTGTTCGAATTTTTGTTCTCTTTTTCAATTTTTGAATTTGCACACAGAGAGAGAGAGAGATATATAGAGGATTTAGATGGATCTCAGGGGAGGCTGGGTTGGATCTCGAGTGCAGACGAGGGTGGTTGTATGGTGACGTTAGGCTTGGGGGTTTATGAGTTTTGGGGTTTTGCCTCTGATAGCTTAATCCTTCCTAAAAATCGAATTGTGGTTGCAGATCGTTGAGTTTATTTGTTTTGTTGGCTTCAATTTCTCTACAATTCATCCCAGGCTTTTCTTGGTCTTTATCTATTTGAAGAGAATGATGAACTTGAGCTTGAACTTAGTCTTCAGGATTGAAAAACTTGGAGTTCATTAAAGTCATGCCTTGAATGGCTTTTGTATTTGAAAAACTCATTCTCATAACCAGGATTACAATTTTGTGGGCAATGAAGAAGGCTCTGAAGATGGAGGTGGGGTTGTTAGGGTATATAATGGATGAAGAACTCGAAAGGATGCTTTTACCCCCTCATTTTGAAGTGACGGTAGGACGAGGGGATCTGTTGTCCCCAATTTTCCATATCCCTTCATGTCCCCCTACTAATGTCTTGACAAGTGTCTACTTACTTAACTCAAACTTAACGTTTTTAAGTTAAGAAATTAAAAAAAATCATAAAAACTAAAAACTAATAGAAAAAACAAACAAGCCACCAACAACCACAACCCACCCACACCTCCCCATCGGCCCTTTTGCCTCTTCACTTCACCACCATCGAAGCATCCTCTCTTCTTTGTCTCTATATTTCTTCCCATATTTCTCTCTCACTGCCCCTCCCTTGAATTTAGTCATATTTTCCTCTTATTTCTCGTTGTGGATACTGGGAATAGTGTTTCTTAGAATAAACTAGTCCAAATTCCATTCAATTCTAATTATGTTAGATCAGATCGGCAACATGATTACCAAAACAAAAAATATACTAAGAGCAGCTACTTTTCAGTACAATATGGGACCAAATTCAGAGAAGGGGCAGTGAAAGAGAATAGAGAAGAGAAAGAGACAATGTATTTAAATAGTATATTTTGAGTCATTTTCAATGAAATCAAAAGGTTGATTCGTATGGCTGGAATTGATTACTATAACAATTAATTTAATCGAGACAAGGATTGATTACTATGGCTCGGTTTGATTCCTATGGCAGGGATTGGTTTTCTTACATGAAATTTCCTAACAGAGATTAGGAGGGAGGAGAATTGGGTTTTGTAAGCGTTTGAGAGTGTTCACCCCGTTTTGCGTTTACTCCTGAGATGGAAGGGCAAAGTTCCCCACTGCCTTGAAAACCATTGACTAGTCAACAAATCAGCTTTCTTTGGTGTATGAGCGTGCCACTGCTAGCAATGAAAATTCTAGCAGACTTCTTCTAGAGCAGATAACTTGCGCCCCAAGTTACTGATTTCTAAAAACAAACGATTGTGAATTTGGGTGAGGAATATCTCCCAAGTAAGTTCTTTTCATGCCTCAGACTAGTGAGGACTTTCATAATTTATCTCAGTATGAAAACGGTTGTTCTGGCCAGAATAGTTGATAGGAATTAAGCTGTTTTTAGGTAGAACTGCCCTTTACACAACTATAAACATACATATCAACGCTAGAAAGATTGAAAGAGGATTGGAACTCCATTTCTGCCTGGATAGAAGGCTCTGATCCGGGCTGGACTGGATATGCCTAGGCTGGACTGGGCTGTCAACAACTTCAACTGCTAAACTTTAGCTGTAAATCGATACCAAAGTTCAATTCTAGCAGAGCTTTAATTTACTTCAAGCTTTGTGAGGCTTTTGAGTGGGCAGAACTACGGCTTCTTTAGTCTGAAAGGGCAGAAGTGGCTATTCTTGAGGACTCAGTGTGTTAAGGACTGCACTATGAAATTTGTTGAGGTTTTCATATTTGGGAAAAACTCAAGCTCTGCCTGTCTTGGCATTTGCTGAACCAAATGT